GGAGTCTCCAAACCCAGCAGATCCCTGCGGTGCGCTTCTGCAATGCTCCTCCCTGGGGAGGGAGGGGAGTCTCCCCGGATCTACCGCTTGTTGGGTCCCCGCTGGAGGAGCAGTGGCCCGACTGGGCCACAGATCACAGTTTATGGCAACCCCAAGCTGAGAGCCCGCGCCTCGGCTCCGTCTCTGCAGCCGGCTTCCCCGCTCCGATACCTGGGAGCTCTGCTGCACTCAGGCACCCCTGGTCTTTCCGTGACCCCGAGGGTCCTGAGACCACACTGTCCCGCGAGGGTTCCACCCCCCGCTTAGCCACTGGAGCGACGTCCCTCAGCGGAGCCGGCTTCTAAAAGTTCCAATTTTGTGCTCCGCGGCTCTATCACTTGCCAGAAGCGGCTCACGGAGGCCCCCTCTCCCACCATGTATCCTCCCGAATATCGCCTCGGATTCACTTCTCCGTACGTCCTACCTTCCAGTAAGTGGTCGCTTCTCTGTTCAGAGAGTTGTTGCTACTCTCTTCTTCGGGCTCCTGTTGAGTTCGTAGGTGTTCAGAATGGTTTGATCCCTATCCAGCTGAATTCCTGAGACCAGACGAAATCCAGGTCTCCTACTCCTCCACCATCTTGCTCTGCCCCCTGGGGCTTTTTTATTTTTTAACACATAGACTTGGGGAAGGGATAATCCCTAGCCAACCTAATCCTAATCAAAACTAGTCAGTGCTAAAATGTCAGGAATGAAAAAGTGTTAGCAAACCAGCTAACAAAGTGCAAAGCACTTTGAAACATAAGTTCTGTGTCAATTATTGGCTTTACAATGGGAGGACAGTCAACTACCAATCATTTGTACAAAATGGCAGCCACCATCGCATGGATACTCCCCAAATCATTTAAACTTGAAATCAGAATGCTTTATAGGTATAGGGTCATTTTGTTTGTTTATTTGTCTGTTTGATGCAAGCCATTTGAACAGAATTCAGGAGAAATTCTGCCTCAGGATGATATTAAAATGATTTTGTGTTCCCTGAGAGAGGATGCCTCTCTAGACAAGGCTGAAAGAGAAGCAGAAAGGTGAGGGAAGCTCAGCTAAAACTGAAATCACATCTGGGTTTTTCACTAGCTGTACAATCCATGGATTTCTAGTTAGAACCAACAGAAGCTATAAATCAAATGCTGTATTTCTTCAGTCTATCATTTTCTCTAGAAAGCACAAGAAGGTTGATAAATGGCCTGGCAGTCAGCTGAACCAGGACCCCAAAGTGAGTGGTGTTCTTAATCAGTAACTCGTTGCTCATAAGTTAGGCGATACAGGGCTGTGCTTGAACAAAGGGAAATGGTGCAACATGGGAATTATTCCAGAAATTCAGACACAGCATCTGCTATTAAGGTCTCAGACGAAGGTAATCATTTTTCTTCAAGATGGTTTAGATCAATCAGCTTTTTTTTCTTTTTTTTTAATGCTCCAGTCTTTCCTACCCATGTAAGCCAATGCCTAATAAATGGAACCAATCCTTTGGTAAGCAGAGAAAAGTTCTATAGACGTATCATGCACATATGGAATTATTACTCATAAGTGATACTTGTATTCATATATCCAAGTTGCTGGTGATAAAAGGTACCATTTAAACTTCCACATAATGTAAATTTTCTGCTTTTGATATTGTTATATGAGACATAACCGTTATGTTATATGGTTATATGAGACATAGGTTATATGAGACATAACCACGAGGGGAAATTGGATGAAGGGCATGGTGGGCCCCTTTGTACTATCTTCCTATTAATCTATAATGTTTTCAAAATATAGCATTTTTAAAAATTATACATAGATAATAAATTCCAGGCTTAATGTCAAAATTAGAAACCTCTAAAGTAATCCCAGGAATAGTACAAGTTTTTAATAATGCTTAGGAGGGGCTGACAGACATAGATCCCGGAAGAGTATGAATTTGTTTAGATTCAGTATTGGGATTTAAAGACTATTCTTTTGTTGATAGGGAGTGGTATTTTATGAGTTTTCATCAAGCCCATCGAGCTTGGATTTTTGATGGCTATCTAATTATGATTAAAGAGCAATTGTTTTAAAAAATTCTTCATAATACACATAAGTAAGGAAGATGTAAATAATAGAAAAAAATTATCACACCCCACCCTGAGTCTGAAAATCCAACAACCAAAATTTCAGCTTTAAAACAGTCAATTTCAAACTTTTTTGACTGTGACATACAGTTTAAAAACAATCTTTTCCATCAGATTCCAGTATGCAAATACATACATACTCTCTTTCTTCCCCATAAACATATTATATAGCCAAATAAAATCTCATGAAACAATACCCATACTTCCTTCTTGTGATGATTACTAATACTATATTTCATTCTACTCTATCCTATCTTATTCTAGTTCATTTAAAAGGCAACCATTCAACTGATTCTATGATCCACTAATGGGTTGCTATACATAGTTTGTGAAACACTACACACTCTGACAGGTAAGAAGAGATATCTGCAGTGATAATGATCATCACATTTCCATCCATATATACCTACATATACATGAATGCATGTGTATAGATATATATTCTTTAATATGTGTAGACCATGGTCACTTCCATCTACATGGTCCCTGTTGCATGTATTCCCATATGGGGAACCCAGGCACAAGTCCTAAATCCCAATGTAAGCGAGCACAGTGATGGCCCACCCTCTACCCTGGCACTAGCTCTCTACACACAGTGCAGAGTTTTCTAGTTTGGATCAACCTGAGGCCCAGCTCTCTAGGAATCAAACTGGGCAAGAGAAACATTGGAGCCATGTTTTCTGAGAAAGTACCAGGCAAGGCCAGTTGAAACTACTTGGCTGCAAGGGAGGATATGAACCTTCTGGGAGACTTCATATCTTATGGGAAAAAGCAAAGACTTTGGAGCAGGAGGCAATTGAGGTCAAGTCGCAACCCTGACAGTTATTAGTTGCTGAAGTTGGACAAGTTATATGACTGCACTTAGCATCAATTTCTCCAACTCTGTTAGGTGAAAATAATACCAATCTCACAGTTTACAACCATGATCTGTACAGGATCAAAGAAACATGTACCTAACAAACACCCAGCACCATGCCTGGCACAAGGTAGGCATTTGGTAAGTATTAGTTTTTCCCTCATGCTAGATGGCCTGAGAAAGGCAGAACCTCAACCACGTATGTTGTGTGATGAACCCAGAATTCCCAGTCAAAATACTGGGCAGTTGGTACCAGTTTTACATACAAAAATATCCAAACCTTTGTCTCTTACACCAACTTATTTAGCTTTATTCTAACACCAACCCCAGTTTCTAATTTATAAGACCATTTCTATAGATTAACATGGCTGCAAGAAGAGATACCTGGTTCCTGCCATTGGTGAAACCCTTTCCTCAAAGGAGCCCAGCTCTTGGTCCTTTCTTCAGGATGGCCATTACTTCCTCCAACTATAGTGGACACCCACAGTCTGCCCAGTATCCTCATCCACCTGGATACTGAGGGAACATCCTGTTGGTACAGCGTGATCCTGCCCCAGAGCCACAACTGTGGGCCCAGGGCCTCCACCCTAATCCAAAACGAGCCAATAGGCCTTTTTTATTTGGAACCAATGCAAGAAAAAGCTCTACAATACAATATCCATGAACTATTAGTAGGAATGTTTACATCCAATGGAGAAAATCTGTAGTGAAACAAATACAAGAAAGAACCAGAGATGGGAGATAAACAGGAGTCCCTATTTCCATTGGTCCTTAGGCTAGTCACACGCCTGCCACTGGGTTCCCTGACACACCCCAGAATCCTTATAATAAATTCCCTTTTTTTTTTTTTTGCTTCAGCTAGTTCATGTTGCATTTCTATCACTTGCAACTGAAAAAGTATTAAAATACATTAACCATGCTTCGGTTTTCGAGGACAGTGCTGAAGATGGCAAGAGATTTAAATGCTAACTATGTTAAGTGTCTCTTTCGTCACTTGTACTTTATTTCCACATATGTTGATTCCTTCAACAATTATTTATTAATATTCTATTATGTGCCAAACACCATCTCCTTGAATCCTCACAATATCACAAGGTATGTGTTATTATCACTATTTATAGCCAACGGAAGAAAGACTTGGGGAGTTAACTATCCAGTCTTACAGCTAATATGTAATGCTGTCCATCCTAAAGGATGCTATGTTTTTTTTTTTTTGAGAGAGAGAGAGAGAGGAGAGAGCATGAGTGGGGGGGGGAGAACAAGGAAAGGGAGAGAGAGAATCTGAAGAGGGCTCCAGGGCGAGCACAGAGCCCGACATGGGGCTTGATCTCATGACCCTGAGATCATGACCTGAGCCAAAATCTAGAGTCAGATGTTTAACCAACTAAGACACCCTGTGGCCCAAATATGCTATTTTTAAGTGCTTATATTCTTTGTAGGCTCTCTTTTCACCATAAGGACCAGCCTTTGTTCCATCTCTTGGCTCTCCAAGAACCCCACCATGGGGCCTGTCACCTGCAGTTTCTGACTTCCTGAACCAGAGGCTGAGCCCCCCTCAGTTCCAGAGCTGCCTGCTTCTACGGACAGACTCACAGCATTTTACCCCAACAGTGTTTGACCATATCGACATGTGATCGCTACCCAATGCCACTCAACATTTCCTGCCTCAGGTCTTAGGGGAAACCAGAGAAAAAAGTCGTGAAGTTGAAGGGAAAATGCGTTTCTCCGGCATGGGTTTTTTCATCAGATAGAATCCACTTGCCCGCATCAGACTCTAGCCCTGGAGAAAAGCCTAACTAGGAAGGAAGGGAACTATCCCCAGCAGGCTCTGAAGCCATTCCCAGACTCTATAGTTCACAGATCTGTCTGGAGGGAGGTTATGTGTGTAGTAAGGGGAGGAGAGAATAGAGGGTAAGGACTTTGGAAGGAAGCATGTGAACTGTACTCGCAACTGGGATGAAACTCCAAAGTACTGCCATGTGGGAACTGAGGCTTTTTCTTTAAAACCCTCTCACCTGGGAATATCTTCTTCGATTGTTGCACATCCGTAAAGAAACACGATCACTCCAATTACAGAAGACGGAATGAGGAATGATGTATATAATCCCAGCCAGGCAAAATATAGTCCAATTTTTTCTCCAAAATACTTTCTGAAAAAGAAAGAATATCGCAACACATATTGAGAATACCATAAACTTCCCCCATTTCTGTTTGTTCTACGAGTCAGCATAAACAAAAAGAGATGGAAGTTAGATGGCACAAGAGGGACCTCAGCACAAAGAACTGGTCTCTTCCACTATGAATTACATTCCCTGGGAATCACTCACACACACCTCACATGCATACACACACACCAAGGAATCCTGGCTATTCACGTGAACTAGCCCCAAGAAGGAATCCAGCCCTAACAGCAAACTGAAAGTAGACCATACATTTTGGCATCTTTACCAGACAAACATAAGTAACACATCATCATCTCATGAGTACCCTAACCCACAGAAAAACACCTTTTCAGAACTTCGTTATGTGAATAAAACACAAATTATCTAGGTGGGCATGCGTACTTATGTCCACAAAGCATAAAACTAAGAAAAATGACTAGAAGCATTTGGGTAAAATATTAGCAATGGTTTCTTTAGCTGATGGGATTGTGGGTGGTTTTTATTTCTTTATTTTTTACATTTCTGTATTTTTAAACTCTCTACTTTGTTAACGAATTTAATTCTATAATTTAAAAAATTCTTTTAGAGAGAAAATTAATAAGCCATTATCTTTTTGATCCCTAGAGTTCAGGAAGTTAGTAAATTGTCACCGTAAGTCTCTAAAAAGGGATTTTTCCTTTAAATAAATATTAGTGATGGACACCTGATGAGAAAAATACAAACCACAGAGAAACTGTATATTTTATTTCTCAAGAGGCTATGACATAAAACACAGGAGGGAAATGGGAGTGCAGCCCACTCTTTGATGTGAGGACAAAAGAATAAGAGCAGTGAATTGAATCTATTTATCCACTACCAAAGGTGCTGCTCCCACCTAGGATATAGACAATGGCAAGAAAATGTGGCTTCTAACCTAACAACAAGAAAAATCCAGATAATCTGTGACATCAAACTTTCCTTGAACCCATCACAGAATGGAGGCTACAAGGTAATCATGTGAACTGAATTAAAAAAAAAAAAAATGACAAGCCCCTCCAAGGAAAATGGGACATGCAAATACTTTCAGATTTGGCAGAGCACAGGAGAAAAGGGCAGTACAAAGAAAAAGATATAATCTTGTAAATTCTGAAAGGCTGAGTATAGGTTAGCATGACAGATTACAATAAATGAGAGCTCCAGACACAAGAGGATTTTGCAGTCCTTCATAAGATCCCAACCAATGACCACCACCTGGTACTCATAAGGAGGGTAACGGGCAAGGTAGGAAACTGGAAAGGGCCTCTTTATTGCAGAGGGGCGTGGAAGCACACTCATCTCCCAGGACCATCTCTCATTCAAATCACTGAGTGAAAAGGATCAGCAGTCTGCTCTGGGAGAGGGGCAGGAGAGAGGATAATATCCTAGGGTCTATCATATATGTAATTGAAGTCCCAGGAAGATTAAAAGAAAGAAGACAGAAAAAATATCTGAATGGATTAGGGCTAAAAAATTTCCAGAATTAATCAGAAACAACAAAACATAGGTCTAAGAACTCCAGAGAACCCCAAGCAGAATAAATATAAAAACAAAAACAGAAACCTACACACCAAGACATACCAAAATCAAATCTGAAAAACAAAGATAGAAAATCTTTAAGCTGGAGTGAGGGTGGTGTTGGGGAGGGGAAGATGAGAAAGGGAAGATATAAAAAATTATTTTAAAAAGGGTATTGGAAAAAAAAAGATACCCAATTAGGGTGCCTGGGTGGCTCAGTCATTTAAGCATCCAACTCTTGATTTCAGCCCAGGTCATGATTTCAGGGTTGTGAGATCAAGCCCTGTGTTGGGCTCCACGTGCTTAAGATTCTCCCTTCCCCTTTCCCTCGGCCCCTCCCCCCTTAAAAAAAGATACCCAATTGACCAATAAACATATGAAAAGGTACTCAACTTTCCTAATCATCAGATCATCAAGAAAAGGCAAATGAAATCACAATGCAATACTTAGTCAAGAAAATGATAAAAATGAAAAAGAGGGGAAATACCAAGTCTTGGCCAAATGCAGAGAAACTAGAACGCTCACACAGTGCAGGTGGGATGTATACAGGTAGATCCACTTCAGGAAAACTGCTGGGCACTATCTACTACAGCTGAGCATGGGCATCCCCAGTGATGCAACAAGTCTCTTCCTAAGTATATGCCCAACAGAAACGCGTACATGCACACTGAGAGACACATACAGGAACATTCACAGCAGCGCTATCTATGATAGCCCCAAACTGGAAACTCCAAAATGCCTATAAGCAATAAAATGGATAAATACGTTGTTCTATATTTGCCCAACGGTGTATTATACAGCAATGGGAATGAACACATTACAAGAACGTGCAACAATATGGATAAATCTCATCAACACAACACTGAGCAAAAGGAGTCACACACTAAAGAATATATATATTTAATTATTCTGCTTAAAGTTGAAAAACAAAATAACTGTGCTAGAAGTCCAGATAGTAGTACTAATCATATTTATTCTTGATCTGAGTACTAGTTGTATGGGTGTGTTCAGTTTGCAAAAATTCAGCAAGCTGTATATTTATTGCATATACATCTTTCTATAGGTATATTATACTTTGATTTTAAAATGGTTTCATTTTTAAATTTTTATTAATTTTTTTATTTGAGTGTAGTTGATATACTATGCTACATTAATTTCAGGTGTAAAACAGTGATTCAACAAGTTTCAACATTATGCTATACTTACCACAATGTAGCTACCATCTGTCACCACACCATGCTATTACAGTATCATTGACTATACCTTATGCTGTGCCTTTTATTCCTATGACTTACTCATTCCATAACTGGAAGCCTGTACCTCCCACTTGCCTTCACTCATTTTGCCCACACTCCCACTGGCAACCATCAGTTTGCTCTCTGTGTTAACAGGTCTGATTCTGCTCTTTGTTTGTTTATTCATTTGGGTTTTCTTTTTTTTTAGATTCCACATATGAGTGAAATCATATGGTATTTGTCTTTCTCAGTCTAACTTATTTTGCTTAGCACAATATCCTTTAGGTCCATCCATGTTGTTGCAAATAGCAAAAAAAAAAAAAAAAAACTCATCCTTTTTAATGGTTGTATAATATTCCACGATACACCCCTCCCCACACACACACACACACACATACATACCACATCTTCCTATCCATTCATCTATCAATGGACTCTTAGGTTGCTTCCATAACTTGGCTACTATAAATAATGCTGCAAAAACATAGGGGTACATATATCCTTTTCACTTTCTTTAGGTAAATACCCAGTAGCGGAATTATTGGATCATTTGGTATTTCTGTTTTTAATTTCTTGAGGAAACTCCATACTGTTGTTAACCCACAGTGGCTGCACCAGTTTGCATACTCACCAACAGTGCACGAGGATTCCTTTTTCTCCACATACTTGTCAACACTTATTATTTTTTATCTTTTTTATTTTAGCCATTCTCATGGGTGTGAGGTGATATCTCACTGTGGTTTCGATTTGCATTTCCCTGATGATTAGAGATATTGAACATATTGTACATCTTTTTATGCATCTTTTGGCCATTTGTACATCTTCTTTGGAAAAATGTTTATTTAGGTCCTCTGCCCATTTTTCAATTGGTTAGTTATATTTTGGTGTTGTCTTTGATCTTATATATTTTGGATATTAATCCTTTATGAGATATATCATTTGCAAATATCTTCTCCCATTCAGTAGGTTGTCTTTTAGTTTTGTCAACTGTTTCCTTCACTTTGCAAAAGCTTTTTACATTGAGCTAGTCCAAATAGTTCATTTTTGCTTCTGTTTCCCTTGCCTTAAGAGACATGTCTAAGAGATATGTCTAGAAAAATGTTGCTATGGCCAATGTCAAAGAAATAACTGCCTGTGCTCTCTTCCAGAATTTTTATGGTTTCAGGTCTCCCATTTAGGTCTTTAATCCATTTTGAGTTTATTTTTATATATGGTGTTAGAAAGTGGTCTAGTTTCATTCTTTTACATGTAGCTGTCCAGTTTTCCCAAACCCATTTACTAAAGAGACCCTCTTTTCCCCATTGTATATTTTTGCTCCTTTGCCACAAACTAACTGACCATATAATCATGAGTTTATTTCTGGGCTCTCTATTCTGTTCCATTGATCTGTATGTCTATTTTTGTGCCTGTACCATACTGTTTTGATTACTACAGCCTTGTAGTATATATATTGATATCTGGAATTGTGATACCTCCTCTTTTGTTTTTCTTTCGCAAGACTGAAAGGATCATTCACCACAATCAAATGGGATTTATTCTGAGGATGCAAGAATGGTTCAATATTCACCAATAAATCAACATGACACACCTCATCAAAATGAAGGATAAAAACCATATGATCATATCAGTAGATGCAGAAAAAGCATTTGACAAAATATCAACATCCATTCATGATAAAAACTCTCAACAAAGTAGGGTTAGAGGGAACATACCTCAAAACCCACAGCTAACATCTTACTCAATAGAGAAAAACTGAGAGATTTTCTTCTAAGATGAGGATCAAGACAAGGATATCCATTCTCACCACTTTTATTTTCTATTTTTTTCCATTCTCACCACTTTTAAACACAGTACTGGAAGTCCTAGCCACAGCAATCAGACAAGAAAAAGAAATCAGAGGTATCTGTATTGGTAAAGAAGTTGTTAACCTGTCACTATTTGCAGCTGACATGATACTATATATAGAAAACCCTAAAGATTCTACCAAAAAAAACTACTAGAAATAATAAATGAATTCAGTGAAGCTTCAGGATACTAGATTAATACCCAGAAATCAGTAGCACTTCTATACACTAATAACAAAGTAGCAAAAAGAGAAATTAAGAAAACAATTCCACTTACAATTGCACCAAAAAAAAAACGCATAAACTTAACAGAAGAGATAAAAGACCTATATTCCAAAAACTATAAAACATTAATGAAATAAATTGAAGATGTCGC